GTATAGGGTCTCCTGCTTGAGCAGGGGGTTGGACTAGAAGACCTCCAAGGTCCCTTCCATCTCTGTTGTTCTGTTATTCTGAATCTGAATTACCCTGGCTCTGAACTTCATTCTGCTACAGCTTTTAAAAGACCTTTTCTTGTTTGTCTGCTTACATCACATTTTGTATTCCTTTCAAAAGAAACCAAAAAGGAGAAGAGACAATGATTGTGAATAGCCCCTCTGTTCTTTAGAAAGGAGGACTTTCCAGGGAAGATGCTTTGACTATAATTGACCCAGCCTGTAACTGGGCATGCTGGAGAAATCTCACCATGGTTTCTCTCTAACCTTAGTCTTTCTCTGTTTCTCAGCAAGGAAAACAGCACAGAGACAAAAAGAGCAAGTCATTTGTTATAAAGACCAAAACTGGGGAAAGTGCTGTAAATATCAGCCAAAATGATCAAAGGGAGAAGGATGGAGCAAAGGAAAAAAAGGGTAAAAAGAGCTTTTGATTTAAGGTGAAAGAAGGCATTGTTGAAGTTAATGAAGCTATAAATACACAGAACTTTTATTTACCTGTACTAAAAAAAAAATAACGAGACGTTTGCTTACCCGGTGGCATTAGCAGGCAGCAATTTGGAATGAACAACAACAACAAAAAGACTTACAGGTAGTCCTCGAGTTAACAACCATTCATTTAGTGACCGTTCAAAATTGAGAAAAGTGACTTTCAAAGGGTTCTCACATTTATGGCTGCTGCAGCAAGCCCATGGTCACATGATCAAATTCGGGCAATTGGCAACTGGCATGTATTTATGATGGCTGCAAAATCTTGGGGTCATGTGATCACCCTTCGTGAGTTGCCCAGAGGGCTTCTGACAAGGTAAGTCAGTGGGGGGAAGCTGGATTTGATTAATCATCAGGTGAGTCATTTAATAACTGTAGTGATTCACTTAAATAGGGGTCTTCAAACTTGGCCCTTTTATGACTTGTGGACTTCAACTCCCAGAATTCCTCAGCCATCCACAAGTCATAAAAGGGCCAAGTTTGAAGACCCCTGCACTTAAACATGGCAAAAAAGGTTGTGGAATTGGGCATGACTTACTTAACAACCGCCTTGCTTAGAAGATAAATACTGGTCCCAATCGCGGTCATAAGTTGAGATTGTATTGAAGTAACTTGGGGAACTTCCTTCCACAGGAGCATATGCTTTTAAAGAGGGGTTAAACTAATTCGGGGAGGGCAGGTCTATTTCTAGCTGCTGGTTGCAGTACTAACAGGAATGTTCCCAGAGGGAGTTAAAAATAGTGAGAAGGACTGCCAAACTGCACAATTGAAGCCAGATTTCCTCCTTGTGGTCATTGTATATGCAACAGCAGAAAAGGGTCAGGCTATAATTGTGTGGTTGTGGATGCCATCTTGACTTTTCTGACCCTCCCTGTAACACCCGAGTACCATACAAAGCGTCCAAATTTGGGAGCAGTGGATTTGTTTACATTTTTGTTTCTCCTATAGTACAGGGTTTCCCCAACCTTGGCAACTTTAAAATGCATGGACTTCAATTCACAGGATTCCACAGCCAGCCATGCAAGCTGGGGAATTCTGGGAGATGAAGTCCATGCATTTTAAAGTTGCCAAGGTTGGGAAACCCTTTATTAACTGTGTTCAGAATTCAGAATAACAGACCTGGAAAGGGCCTTAGAGGTTTTCTTGTCCAACCTGCTGTCTTAGTAGAAGCTCAAGGATGCGTATCACCCCTTGGATCAGTAGAATACTAACCCACCTGATATATATTCACACTGATGGTCTCTGCCCAGCCTCTGTTGTGCCTGTTTGAAACCTATGCAGTATGCAAATGGAGGACAGGCTAACCAATTCTATATGATCTGAAGCTGCTCTCATATGGAAGAGAAATCAGGAGAAAATACGACTTTAACATCAATACAGCTAAAAATATCAAAGATGTCTTGCTCCTGGTATGGGAACATGAAGATGGCAACATCAAAAGGACATGTCTGAAACAAGGTATTCTGGGAGTTGAAGTCCCTTGGTCTAGTATATTTTGATCCAAATCTGGCAGAAGAAGTTCTTGCTTCTGTTTAATGGAGACTGGTCTGAGAACCTAGGAATTTTACTCAACTATAGTTTTCCTGGCTTTCTAAACCACTGCCTTGATTTCCTTGTTCTAATCGACCACAATGTTCTCCTCCCAATTGTGCATTTTGTCATTCTAACTCCACAGCTTACTTTTTCCAAAAAGTAAGAATACGGCTGACACCTTGTGGCTAATAAACAGTCCTACAAGAAGGCTTGACCTCTTTCCACAATTGGTCAAAATTGCTCTTAATAAAAATGAGTCATTGGCGCTGGGAGACATTGCTTTGTATTTAGACTGGCAGTAAAACTGAAATGGGCTGGATTAAGCTAGTTAGGTGAACTCAGACATTATGTGAGTATCATGGCTTGGTGTGGTGGATGAACTTTGCCAACAAGATATGGCGCTCTAAATCATAATGCATTTGTCATGTTGCACAAATGCACACTATGAATCAGATTGCGGTTTAGACATTTCTTTTTAACCATACAGCAATCTGCAATTATAACTCTTGTTTATTGTTCGTTTATGCAGCCTGATAGTGGGAGCTTTGTGGGCAGTATATAAAAACTGTAGAAAAGCACAACTATAAAAACAATCAAAACAATAACATCTGCATGGAGAAGAGCACTACTTGTAAAATAAAAACCGGGATCAGCTGCAGTTATTTTATGTTGTAATTACAGCATAAAATCACAGTACAGGCGCAATAAAACAGTTAAGTTGGAAAAGCCAGAATGGTTCTTAAAATGATGGGAAAATTAAAAAACGTCTTTGCGTGAAACTTAACAGACCATAATATGGATGCCAGGCAAAACTATTTGGAGTTGGTGCTGCATAAATGGGCTCTATCTCAGCAGTCACCTACTTTTGTCTTGCAAGGAACAGATACCTGGAGAAGACTTTGCAGGATTTTACTTAGGGATGATTTTAAGAATAATTTTAATTGGAAATACAGCTTCTAATATTTGGTTTTTAATTTGGTTTTATAGGGGTTTATATTTTTTGTATTTTGTATCTGTACTTGTTTT